AATGAAAAGCAGTTCGGTTAATTCAAATTTAGTAAAGAAATTATATATTAATATGAATGAACTTTTTATACTTTTTTAATGCAAAAGATTCTTTTTTCGAACGGCTTATCGATTTTCGTATAAGCATCATTGTTAGCTACCGGTTGATGTTTAATGTTAACAATTCAAATTAACGGCTTGGGTGTGCTTCATAGATTTTTGTTGTGAAAGAAACTAAAGTAAAAAGTGAAAAATTCGTAATTTTTTGGAATTCGCTCTTACATCTCAGCACGCTAATATTTTTCAAATGTAAAATTTAAAATTATTTCGATCACGCGATATATTGGGTATATTGAAGTTATGCTGTTAGTGTGCTTCGCGAAAAAGGCCCTTTTTCAAAACTTTCACGTTTATTTCTCCAATATTTAAGCTTCTCCCACAGTGATAACTTCTAGATCACATTTTGAAGATATACATCAAAGGACGCGAATTTCAATGTCTATTTTCTCTTATTTCAAAATTTTCCATAACCGAAGAGCAGCAAATATCATATCCAAAAAATTGCAAATTTTGTAAAAAAAAACTGCGACCATGTAATTTTTTACTTATAACACAAGTTTACAAATTAATATTTTTTGTTTGCTCATGGAATGACACATATATTTTTGGAAAGGGCTATGTCCGGTGGTTAATTAACAATTTTTATTTTTTTCCTATACGTCGAATATTTGAGATAAAGTGGTTTTTGTTAAGCATCCTTCTTCAGTAGTGATGGAAAAATATTTGAAAATGAGAATTGTTTTTGGGTGCTTGCACCTGTTTTGGGAACCTACAATCAACTCAGAAAATAAATTCAATAATATGTATAAAATTTACGTCTTCATTAAACCACTTTTTACCAGATTTCTTTATTTTTATCCCGATTTTTAGTCATTTTTTTTTTTGATAAATTTTTTAAAAAATTAAAAAACAAATAAAATTTGAAAAAATTATTATTCCTGAATTACAAACTTACGGATCTGAATTTATCCCTCATAGTTCATTTCTTACATTCCCACTTATACTTTTTCCGAAAAACTCTTGGAAGTGTGAGTGATAAAAATGGCAAGATTTAAGATTATTGCAACGTAATTTTTTATATTTTTGTGACAGGAATCCATTGTTAGAGAGTTGTGTGGAAGACCAGTAAAATTTTTAATATAAAAATAACTACAACCCTAAATATTTAATTATTTCTACCTAATTTAACCCTTTTTTAACATATTCTTTCTTTATGAATAATTCAAAAATTTTACGTCCTAGATTTTTTTAAATAATTTTTCTGGACTTAGACGGCCTAAATAAAGAAATCTATATATGTTTTATATCATGAGCAAAATCGTTGTAAACTAGTGTAATTTGCAAAACAATTAAAAATGGACTGTAATCATCCAACAAGAGTATACAGCCTACATTAGTAGAATTCACTTTCTCATTTGTAAGCCGCCCTCATAATATCCAAAAGTTGTAAAAAAAAACTGGTTGGCTTCAATCAGTTTTTTGAGAAATTTAAACTTTTTTTGAGTTTGCAATCTAATGCGAATTAACAATCCGATTAGGTTATCTAAAACTAAATTTAATCTGACGTTAATCCCCTTTGATGTTTTTGAGTACAAGATTAAACTTCGCAGTGTTGCCATACAAAACAGCAGAAAAAGTCAATTGTAAATTTAATATGAAAATTAATAAAAACTTAAATTTAGAACGAAAAAAAAATTATTTTAAAGTATCCATAATTTATACTAATCAATAAATGGAACATTTTAATGTATATATATATAAAAATTGTATTATTTTTTTTTTACATCAGCTGTTTACACTTTTGCATTTCATGCTTTAGTTTAAACCACCTCCATTGGGCGCTTAAACCTGCAAACAAAATTAACTAATTGAGTACTCAAAAACAACTTTCGAGGATTAATTTTAATTTAATCGCTAATTGGGCGCTTAAACTTGCAAACAAAATTAACTAATTGAGTACTCAAAAACAACTTTCGAGGATTAATTTTAATTTAATCGCTAATTTTTCACCTAAAGATTGGCCCTAAGTGTTTATTTCTACAACATGGAACTACTCTTGACCACAAAATTTAATGGACTTATTATTTCAAGTCTTGTGAACAAAAATTCGTCATCACTTAATTTGATGATGAGATGTAGGAATGATTAATATCTGTCTCAAAAGACCGTTCATTCTAATAGTTTCATTTATGACATTGGCGATGGAAGCACAATACAAATTTTGAAAGTTCATCAAAATAATTATATATTTACTTATTATACCCTTCACCTTCGTAAGAAAGGTATATGTAAGTTTGTCATTCCGTTTGTAATGTCTACAATATAATTTTCCGACCCTATGAAGTATATATATTCTGGATCCTTATAGATAGCGGATTCGATTAAGCCATGTCCGTCTGTCTGTTTGTGTGTATGTTGAAATCAATTTTCAAATCGGTTCATAAATAACGGAGATATGAACTGAGACAACCTCGGAAAGTTTCGTCAAAAAATTAGTATTTTTTTAATGCAGACGCACGAAAACAACAACAACAAAATTTTATACCAGTTAGTTTTAGACACTATTAAACAATATATGATCCATCTGAGCAAAATCGATATTTTTGGACACCTCTAATCTACCTGTTAGACATACATAGTAGGGATGCCAAACGGGGCTAGCTTTTACAAATCCCGGGATTCGGGATTTTGGAAATAGCAATACCGGGATATTTCGGGATTTTTGGATTACATAAATTTAATTATTTTATATATGAAAATCTTTAAATCATCATGTTTGTAAAGAAAATTGTTTAATTTTGTGGAAATTTAGCAGATAGGAAATATATTTAAATTAAAACAATCCAAATCTGAAACTATTTAACTACATACTTCCTAAATAAAAATAAATATCAAGTTCCGAAATTAGACGTAAGCACTTTTTAAAACCTCCATGTGAACTAATAACATGGTGTGACAAAATCACAAAAAATCGATACATTTATCGCGAGACCTAGTGATGTTGGTAGGTCTAGTAGAGTAGATCACAGTACCATTTTTAGAATCTTCAATATACCCTAAAAATCGGAAGATATTGGAAAAAACGCTTTTAGTTGACTAGACATATTTACTAAAAAAATTATATCTCAAAATTTGTTTAACCGATTTAATACTTTTCAACTGTTTTGAAAAGAGTTTCCTTTGTAGTTTTTAAAAAGTACACACAGTTTTACATTTCTTACGGAAATGTGTAAAATATTTAGATCTAAATACAAATTTTTATATTTTTTTTACAATTAAAGATCATTTTTGATCCACACTTTATTTAAAAACATATTTTTTTATTTTTATATATACTTTTATGCATAAAGATATGGAACGTTAAATCAGATAAAAAACAAAAATTTACCAAATATCTCTTTGCTAAAGTATAATATCAATGTAAGATATGCAACTCAAATATGAGCTTTATTATTCAAATGGATAATTTATTTAGCAATGAGAGATTTGGTAAATTTTTGTTTTTAAGAAAAAATTCTATTTTTGTCAGTTTTTATCAGATTTTAACTTTCCATATCATATTTTATTCGTAGAAGTATGAGCTAAAATAAAAAAATATTTAAAAACTATGTTTTCAAATAAACCCAGCAAAAATAAACGAAGTACTTTCAAAAGAATAACAATTATCACCACTTCAAAAGTAGCATTGAATGATTTTTTTTTTGCCTTCTGAGGAAGTGATTTTTAAAGACTTCCGAAGAAGCGAAAATAATTCTATTTTTTTAATGTTGAAGATATATTTTTTGTTCTTTAATTTTTATGAGATAAAAAATTTTATATTTGGGCTTTTGTATTTAATGTTTCTATTACCCTTATTAATGTTAATATTATTTAAGTCAAATTAGTTTTATTCTATAATACTATAGTTTCACTCCCAAATAACTTCCGAAAAAGAGCATTAAAACTACTTCTTGAGAATGACTTCAGATGTAGTGAATTTGAACTCAAATAAAAAGGACATCCCTCCTATGAGGAAAATATTTTCAAAACAGTTGAAAAATATTAAATTGGTTAAGAAAATTTTGAGATATAATTTTTTTAGTCCGTCAAGTCAAAAAAAAAAATTGTTTTTTCCAATATCTTCCGATTTTTAGAGTATATTGAAGATGGTAAAATGGTAAAGAAAATCTACTCATCTATGTAGGTCTATAAAAAGCATTATATCGCATAATGAGTATTTTTGAGCGTTACACAGTGTAATTATAACACACCCCAATTCAATTATTCGAACATCAATTTAAAACCTTTTCTTTAAAAAATATTTGGAATTTACATATTAGTTTTGAAACATAACATATTCGTAGTATTTATTTAAAATATTATGTAAATTCAGAACAAGGTAATTTACCTTTACCGGTATCACTCAGATTTGTAGAAAGTTTGAAATACAAAATCTTCTATTGAAAAATAAAGTTTGTATTCGACTGTGCCGAAATTAAATACCCACTGTCAAAATATTGTAATGTATTGATATTAATATGTGCATCAATGTGATTTTCAGTTAGTTTTTTCAATTTACAGACACAGAATGTGTACACTTTTTGGGTCTACGACCAACATTTCGATGTGTTAAAAACGAAATGAATAAATCAATTTATATAAAGTGTCAGGCGACTATCCCCTCAATAAAACTGTGTAGTATGTAAAAAATAAGTCAAAAATAAAAAATGTCGTAATTTTCAAACTATTGAAAATTACCGCTAAAAAAAAAATTGTAAACAAATCCCGGGATTCATTTTGGATTGGCCCCCTAATACATAGTATGTGCATAGCTTAGTAGTTGTAATGTAATTATAAGAATTTGTTTTTAACACTAAAGAGTATTTTTTATTTAATATCATGTTTTTCTAATCTAAAAAAATATTTTTTTTATTAATATAGACATTAATTAATTGTATTTTTTTATACATATATAAATATAGATTTTTCAACCAAAGGAAAATATGTTAAAATTGGACGGAAATAATCAAGATCCTGTTAAGAAAAATACTGAACCTCCCCAAGAGATTGTTCTTGCTTGTCAACAATTAGCCGATGGATTGGTTGAACGTCTAATTGAATTGGAAGATACAGATAATGAACGAATGTTAGGCTGTATTACAACGTTACATTTGCTAGCCAAAGTTCGTCCGCAATTATTAGTAAGACACGCTATAACCATCGAACCATATCTTAATATAAAATGCCACCCATCAACTGCACCTAAATTTATATGTGCTGTCGCAGAAATTCTTGAAAAGGTATGTTATAATTACACTAGTTTACAATTTAATACTTTTTGATTGCTTATGGAATGAAATGTATTTTTGGAAAGTACTTAATTAAGGCTTTTTACTTAATTAACGCTTTTTTGGGAACCAACTCAACGCTTTTTTGGGAACCAACTCAACTCAAAAAATTTAATAATACAAAATTTAGGACTTTTTAACCCACTTTTTACTAGTTCTTTTTATTTTTACCAGATGACTTGAAAAGTTTACTTTTTGACTTTTTATGAAAGTCGATTTTTCAACTTTTTGCGATTTATGAAAAGTCGATTTTTCGAATTTTGTGTTTTACGAAAAGTCAACTTTTTCCGACTTTTCGACTTTTTCCGAAAGGAAATAAATATTTGAATGTAATTTCACAATCAAAACGTAATTTCAATTCGAATGAAAATAAGTTACTACATATTTCGTATATACAAAAATACAAAAAGTATTTTTCTTCATATTTGAAGCAAAAATATGAAGAATTTTATTTTTTATTAAAAAAATTTAACTTAATTTAAACTGTTGGAAAAACCCTAAAATTTTCGACTTCGTATAAAGTAAAAAGCTTTTTTCGACTTTTTCCGGCTTTTAGACTGGTTTTAAAAATCGATGTCGGATTTCTGAAATGTTTAATTTTGTTAGATTTTAAGATTGCAAAAGTTTGAGCACGATTAAAAGATGTTAACATGTGCCACTGGGGCCTAAAATATAGTTTTTGTTGCTCGTCCTTTGTAAGTAATTGGTTGTAATCTGTTATGCCCTAGCTTGATTCCTCGCTCTGCCATGTCGTTCACAACCTTCAAGTTGTTTACCGTTCTTTGCCTCTCCAAGTTGCAGGATCTTTATGTAGAATTTCAGTGGCGTTAATATTAAATTTCTTGAAAAACAGGTAAGTCTCACTTGTAATTAGGGCTGGGAGCCCTTTTTCTAGGAACTTCGGCAGTTCTTTTTTTAGTTTGGGTCGCATATTTCTGGAGCACTTCTAATTTTCTTCTGCTTGATTTACAGTAGTCTCGGACGATGAAAACAGGAAGTGCTTCTAGGGCCTCTTGTTCTTGGGAAGTCAGCTTAAACTGGTGACGGAAGAGTTTTATTTTCAGACAGTAAATAGGTTTTGTCATCCACCGGACATGGTGTACTGGACTTGGAGACCTGAAGTGTACATCTTTTCCATCAAGATGGCCAAGATATATCACTGCCAACTGTAACAGCTCATTGTAGTCGTCTCTTGGCCATTAATTTTCTTTACAGTGCTTTGATATTTTCTACTTCATCTTTGGACAGTAGTTCCAAAACATTTTCGCCTTCATCGAACTTGGATTTATTAATCGCCGACTATTCTTTTTGAAACCTCTATGTCTGGTTGAGGTCCATATGTGCTTCCAAACATTCCTGTGGGTCTAAAATTAACGGTTTACTATAACAAACATATTTAAATGAAATTAGATTCCAAAGTAAAAGTATTTGTCCATAATAAACAATAATAATACAAATAACGCATCTTCGTTCTCAGGGGTACCTAGTCACGTTTTTAAGAACATTAGATAGATAGATTTTTCGGTTTCAGTTCTAGTTGCGGATTTATTGCGTAGAATATAAAATATTATAAATAGTAAGGTCTTTAATTTGTTGTATGACACGGGCAAATAGCTTTAGCAGTTCCAAAAATATGGGTCGCCGAAGTCGACAAACTGCCAAAAAATCGAGATTTTCAAAACTTTGAGGCCCCAGTTACACGGGTTAACATCTTCCAAGTGTGTTTAAACTTTGGAAATCCTAAAATCTGACAGAAAGAAACATTTTAGGGGGACATTTTTTTTACCCTATGAGATAAAACCACCCTAATGGGCCCCAATGGAAAATTTTCTCAAGCTCATATCTTTCAAACTGTTTAGAATTTAATATTTGTAATATCAATAAATCATTAACATGTATACGTACAGTCGTTGTTAATAAAAGCAGTACAATTTCACAATGTAAAATTTTCCACTTGGAATGAAAAAAAAATTATGAAGTTTATTGATTTTATGTATGTATATTAGGCTTCACGCAATATTTTTGAAATTGTGATATCATACCTTTATGAAAGTTTTTGGATCAACGCTGATATTGGCGTAATTATTTTGTTAAAATTTCAACTCCTTCATCTGCATATCTGCGGACAAAATACCGATTTTAGGCGACATTTTTTGATAGACCGAAAACTGATGAACATGTTTCATCAATGTTCGGTGTTCGACGAAATTTTGACCGAACGCCGAACTTTTTATAAAATGTTTTTTATCATATTTTTATATCATCAAAAAGTTTTAAAAATGCTGAAAATCTGTTTACAGAAGTTATCATACATCCTGGCTGTACAATAAATTTCGGATATACATACATAGGTACAAAACGCCTTTTTAACCGTTCGTTTTTTCGGCTGATTTGAAAAACTGTTAACCAGAAACTGATTAAAAAGCTAAGAAAAGTGAAACATTTAATTTGAATTATCTAGTTTCGATTACAAATCTTTGATTTCATTTGTAACATCGAAATTTTCTAGGTTCTTATTCTCAAACGATCTAGACATGTCTGTCAGTCAGTCAGTCAGTCTCTTGAAAGAACGATAGGACCTAAACTATTGTTGCAGTTTGATTGGTATTCAAAATGGACAAAATCGGTATACATTTGGACATGGCCTACATATAATGTTCGCTTTAGAAAATTACTAACGTTCATAACAGGCTTAAAAATACTAGTATTTTTATGAAATTATACTTAAATTTTTTTATGAACCAAAATTTCATATAAATTGGCAAATTGAAGTTTGCGAATTGTGTTAAGTATTGTATATATATTTTTTATTTTTTTAAAAACTAATTTACTGATTCGATAAAATTCATTTTGATTTCGATACATATTTAAAACGAAATTTTGATCACATTGGATCATAATATTATGTATAACAATATTATGATAAATACAAAAATATCATGATGAAATATTTTGAGGGTATTTAATCATATGATATTTTAAAATTGTTACAATAACGATAATATGTTTAGACTACAATCATAATTTTAATCATAATATGTTGCTCTTAGAACTGGTTATCACAACCGTGTTTTTTCTCAGCGTGCTCTTACAGATAATTATATCATTGTCAATAAATCGTTTAAAACCAAAAATAAAAAAGTATTATTTTTCATTTAAAAAGAGTTCGTGTTCACCGAACTTTGAAAACCGAACAAAGTTCGGGTTCGGCCGAACTTTCAAATGTACCGAAGTTCGGGTTCGGTGTTCGGTACCGAACGAAATTTTGAGTTCTGTCGGACTCTAATAATTTCCCATCAAACGATGGTGTTTTTCATCATCATCTCCGAATTTAATAAAACTCCACCTAATTAATGTTCCATATATGACTCGTATAATGACAAATTTTGGGTCTTATAACTTTCGTGGTTTTCGAAATATAGCGTTGTAAAGTTTAAAATCTGAAAATTTAAAGTCTCATCACATCTAAAGGGTTAATTATAAATAGTTTTCGCACCATTTGTCCTATAAAATCAATTATTAGAGCATGATTTCCTATAAATTCTGTAATTTCTGCTCTGTAAAAAATGTCGCACAAAATAAGTGGTTTCCGCCTCAGATAAGCAGAGGAAGGAGTTGGAATTTTTAAAAAATTATTACAGCATAGTGATCACAGATACAAAAACCTTCTAAAAAGTTGTGATATCACAAAAATGGAAATGTTTTGTTTTTTGAAACGAAGCCTAATGTATATGTCCACAATTTTTTTCTTTATGACAAGTGCTACAACTTTTCCTCAGAGATTAAATCAAATTCAGGACCGCTTGTAAGATATTAGCGTGGAAAAAATCACCTTTTCGCAAAAATGACACTAAGGCCAAATCATTGGGGGCCTATAAAAAAGTGGGTCTTTTTTTGTCTTTTATCACGCAGTGGTGTCCGTATATGGTTATACATGTTTCCATGACAAAAATATACAAATATACAAGAACTAAAAAATGGAGTAAGCTAAATATATTAACTTTTACAGACATATAAGTGCGTATGTATCTATATTTTTGTTGATCGCCTATAGTTGACAATTTCAATCATGTTCGTGCAAGATTTTAAGATTGAAGTGAACGTTAAAATGTGAATCGATCAATATATTTTTTTGTATAATAATAAAAATTGTCCACAACTTGAAATTTAATTTTATCAGTCAAAAGTTTTTTTAAACTAAATCTATAATATTTCCAAAATTTCAATTAAAAGTTTATTTCCACAAATTAACCGTCAAATAAACGCATACATAACAAACTCATCCAATACCTATTATATTCGAAATTTATTTTTAAGCTTACTAACTTCACTCGATTTTTCGACTTTTCAATTTTTTCATTTAATTAAAAGTCGACTTTTAGACTTTTCGACTATAAGTATTTTATAAATAGTCGACTTTTCGACTTTTTTCGACTTTTTCCGATTTTTTCAACTTTTTACGACTTTTCGATTTTTTTCGACTTTTTGACTATTATCGACTTCTTTCAAATTTTTTTCGACTATTTTTGGACTTTTTCGAGTTTATCCGACTATTTTAAATTTTTTGACTTTTTTTTCCACTTTTTTAAAATTTCCGACTTTTTGACTTTTTTCTACAGGGAAGTTTTTCACTCTCCTAAGTATATACATATGTATGTTTCGACTTCAAAATATCAAATCATACCTTTATATCAAGTAATACCTGTATTAAAGAGATAATTAAATTTTCAATTTTAGATCTTACAGGTTTTTGTGAACTCTGGACAACATCAATCCATTTTTACTTTTAGTCCAATCCAAATAAAAATCTGTAGCTCAGTGGTAAAACGAAGAACTTCCTAAAGAATTACATTTATCACCACTTCAAAAGTAGCACTAAGTGATTTTTTTTGCTTCCGTGGAAGTGATGTTTTATACAGAGACAGTAATTGTTATTATTTTCATTTAAAAAA